ATCGTTCTACTTAAAAAGCAAACTCCTAAATTACCCAAAAAAAAAAAAATAAATAAATAAACGCTGAAGAATACGCTAATGAGAAACTTAAATAGTAAAATAAGTCACAACTACTCAAATCAAAGTGTCACAATCTTCTCATCCACATGCACACACTCAAATCCACGAGCACATTATAAGCAATTCATCTAGAGCAGGAAAGTTATAGTCGAAAATACAAAAGTGAACTGGTGGTAAAGACATAACCTTTAATTACGGAATATTAAAAATTAATTAAAAACAGAAATACGCAATTTGATTTTGTACAAATATATGCTTTAAATTCAATAAAACACCTCTCGCTAGTATGGGATATGTTTCAGAGCATTGAATTGTTTGCCGCAAACCGCAACGATCGTCTCCAAAATCAACAACTAAACATTGAATTGAAAAGCTAGGATTTAAGGATTTTTATCCACTACATTTGGGCAACCAAAGCTGTCTATTTTTTAACGAATATGACACGAAACAAAGGAACAAAGAATTTTTAGTGATCTTCAAAAGGTTGCATCTCAGTGAAAAATGGTCGTATCGATATAAACAAAAAGACATTTTGAAACTTTAAGTCAATAGTTTCAAGATCTTTAGACAACAACATTTTTTGGGCTACGGTTATTGAGCAATTAGAAGAAATACGTTGAGAAAAAAATTTTGCAACGCTTGCGAGCGAATTGGATACGTCGCGCTGAAGCTTGTGTGCAAGCAAATGGTGGCATCTTCTATGAAAATCAGCAGTTCTCAAAAAGTGGCTCCTTGCAATGTTGAGGTAAGTCAGGATTTAAAATTACATTATACTCAACACAAACCAGTGTATTTACCTCATTTTGACATAACGGACATGTGGCAAAAATATTTGACGTAAGTTCATTTACACTCTGTATAAAAAAAAAGCAGTGAGCATGAAGCTCTATTAAGAAAAATTTAGACAATTTACTTACCTCGCGAAGAGCTCGTTCAATATTCGAACCAGTTCCTCCGCCGTGCACTGATCTGAGAGAGTTGTAAACCCGCATATGTCGGCGAACAGGATGCTGGAAAGAAAAGGGAGCCGAACTTATACACAGAAAACACATTCCAAGGGACCCTTTAAGGGCCCCGATCTCTAAATATTTTATTGCGGCGTGCGACGCTTCGCCGACGCCGAAAAGAGAGGATAAATTAATATTTTGCAGGGTCGGCTCGAGCTGTTGCCGTAAAGGATCGCAGCGATTAATCTATCGTGATTTGTGGGGATAATATGTTTGGCCGGCCGCCGAAACTACGCGTCTAGGTCGTTGGGGACCAACGGGAAACTTCTGAGCTTTTATTAGGGACATTTTTAAACTTCCGACAGGTATAAATCGGTCGGGGGTTCGATGTTTAAAAGTAGCAAATCGGCGGTTTTAAAATAATGCCTCTAGGATTCCCACACAACTGATGACCGAATATAATTTATGTGGAAAAAGGAAATTGTACTATTTTCTTTCGTTGTTTGGAAAGTTTTAGACCGATCGAAATAATTCATTATTCAGAGAGGAAAAAAATAAAAAAATTTTACCTTACAAGTGGAAATGGTGATGGACGGTTGATTTAGGGGGTTGAAAAGTTGTGAAGAATGGTATTATTATGATTATCAGCGAAAGTCAAAAAGAGTATTCAATACAAAGGTTGTAGATCATGCAAAAATCTACAACTTTTTACATAACATGAAAATTTTGGAGAAAAATGCAAAAAAATAGTTTTTTTTATTTTCGTTTTTTATTTTTCATTTCCGGAAAATAACACAGCCACACAAAAAAAAGTTGTCTACTTTTCACATATATGTTATCCATAGTATTTTTGCCTCCTGATCACGAATCCGGTATCACAATTCAACTATCACCTCACAGGAGTTTCCTAACCTCAAAAAACAGGTCAAAAATAGCAAAAATTCAAGAAAAAGTTCATTTATATGGTTAAGACTCCGCTGAACGTGAATCCGCGGTCAGAATTGATGGTTCTTTTTCTAACCTCAAAAAACGGATCAATTAGGTCATATCACGAATTTTCAAAAAATAACATATTCGCGTCAAATTTGGTTTACGGGGGTTTTCGACGTCGCTGATCACGGATCCTAGATCAGATTTACAAAATTCGTTTTTTAAAATTTAATTATTTACCTATGTACTTTATTACCTGAGATTAGGCAGAAAACCCATGAGTAGATCTTTTCCAGAAAAAAGACAAGATATAGCCGAAAAAAAAGGTTAAAATATGATTGGGTACTTAGGTTATAAAGTAAACAAAAATATTACAAATGAATTTTGCAATTTTGATCTCGAATTTGTAATCAGTGACCCCGGAAACTCCCGTATACCTTTGGCGCGAATGTGTTATTTTTTTAAAATTTGGTCGGCCATCTTGGATCCGCCATCTTGAGTTTTGTAAAATTGACCTCGGATCGAACCAAAGTAGACAACTTTTTTTTGTGTGGCTGTAATTTAATGTTGATGAACTTGGTGAAAGGATACCTTTCTGTGTCTTACAATTAAATAACCACAAACAGTTTCAGATAAAAAATCAAAAAGTTTCCGAGACATTTTTTCCGGTCCGGAACACTTTTTTTTTAAATCTCCTTAGAGAAATCATCGTACCCAATTCTGCCTGTGCTCATTTTTATTATTTTAACATATACCTTTTAAAATCTAATCACAATTCAAAAACATGGTCAAAAATTTAAAAAAATAACTGGCAACAATGAATTTTCCAGTAATTGTTGATAATTTGTTTAAAAAAATCGTATGTCGTTTATAATAAAAAATTAAGTTTTTCAATTATTCATTCATTTACAGGAGCAAGATAAGACTCCAAATTTCATGTAAAAATATTAATTTTTCCAAAGTTATGGATCAGTTGATTGATTCTTTGACATACCGTAACTTTGGGAAAAGTTAATATTTAAAAGTAAAATTTGGACTGAAGTCTTGCTCCTATAAATGAATCAATAATAAAAAACTTCCTTTTTTATTACTTATACGATTTTCGATATTTTTTTTTTGCATTTTTTTCTAAAGGACAAAAGAAATTTCTGAACGGTTTTTCACTTTTCACTTATTACAAATTATCAGTATGGGTGATTCTGCTCGTTACACAAAATTATTCGACTTAAATGTTTATACCAATAAGTAGGTACTGTTACTGTACAAAAATAAAGTTTCGGGTCAAACAATGAAACACAGTTTCCTTAGTATTGTTTTCCGTAGAATTGAATAGTGTAAATTAATCACTTTTTCTATTTTTTAAATAAATTGAAACAAATTGTCAACAATTACTGAAAAATTCATTGCGTCATTTTTTTATTTTAGAGCATGTTTCTGAATTGTGATTATTTTTTTATTTTATCAAAAAGTATATGTTAAAAAAAAATTTTTCGGACCGGAAAAAATTAACGTCTCGGAAACTTTTCGATTTTTTTATCTGAAAAAAATTGTGGTTAATTAAGACACAGAAAGGTATACTTTCACCAAGTTTCGTCAAAATTAAATTTTTTTTGTGGAAATTAAAAATAAAAAACGAAAAAAAAATGTTTTGGCATTTATCTCGGAAATTTTGAGGTTATGTAAAAAAGCGACCTCAACAAAAGTTGTAGATTTTTGCATAATCTATAACTTTTGTAGCGGATACTTCTTTTGTGAAGTCAACTTTCGCCAAATATAGCATTAAAACGATTTCAACAAAAGTAATGAACCGGCCCTGCGCAAATTCTATTAGATAAAGCCGCGACCTGTACAATCTATAAACGGGGTTAAACAAAACACCGCCACCGCCCGAATTATATCAGAATTTAATTTATAAGCCACAACCTTATAACCGATTTAAACCCAGAATTAATCATTGTGCCCGTTATAACTAACATACGCGGGAATTTAGAAACCGCCGCCCCGAATCCAATAAATTCTTCTCATAGAACGGAATGAGATTACCCAGATTAGAGGAGCTGCTAACGAATTTATTGCTCATAGGAAGAGCGATAAAGATAATTCCATTATACGCCCTTTAAGCTCTAAGCATCGTATACACACACGTACCGACAAAAAGTCTTAGCTTATCGCCGCGGCCTTTGTCTTCCGACAAAATTTACTGCGATATATCGAGAACTAGAAATGGAGACGATTTACGTATTTCGAAACGGTGTAATGATAAATGATTAGTGCTAGAAGATGTAATTCTTAATATCGGGTGGCCTGAAATTCACGGAAGATTTGAATTTGGCGCCGTTTGTGGGGTAAAGTGTTGCCAACGAAAAAGAAAGACAATGCTGGGTTATCAAAAATGGGGCGCTACGCGAAAGAATAACGCTTTTTTATTATACTTCTTTGAAAACACCTTATTTTCATTTGTATTAAGGATAATGTAGGATGGGCTTTTTCCGGCTAGCGCACGGAAAAAGTTTTCCCGATCTTAAATACTTTCCGTGCGCTGAATAAAAATACCGCATATACAGAGTGATCCCGAGGTAATGGGCCAAAATTCATGGGTAGATTCCCGAAGCAAAAATATTGCGATTTAGCCGAACTTACCTTAGTTCAAAAATTGATAGTTAAAGAGATACAGGGTGTTAATTGTAAAATAATATTTTAGTTTTTTTAATTTATTTCTTAATAAAAGCAAATATTCACACAAAATTTTGGGGTTTGGGGTTCTTTGAAATTTGCTCACATTTTGGTTATAGTTCATAGAGGTTGCTGATCACGAATCCGAGGTCGGATTTAAAAAATCAAGATGGCGGATCCAAAATGGCGGACGAATTTTTCGAAATTCAACCGATTTGCACCAAACGTTGTATATGGGGTTTTTTTGGGGTCGCTGACCACGAATCCGTGGTCAAATTTGCAAATTTCAAGATGGCGGACGGATTTTTTGAAACTCAGTCGATTTGCATCAAAGATGGTATATGGCCGTTTTTGGAGTTGCTGAACACGAATATGGGGTCAGTGACCCCTAAAACCCCCGTATATCAAATTTGGTCCTCATTGATTAAATTCAAAAACCCCATCCACGATCTTGGATCCGCTATCTTGATTTTTTAAATCTGCCCTCCGATTCGTGATCAGCGACCTCGAAAACCTCCGTATACAACGTTTGGTGCAAATCGGTTGATTTTCGAAAGATTCGTCTGCCATATTGGATCCGCCATCTTGATTTTTTAAATCCGACCTTGGATTAATGATCAGCGACCTCGAAAACTTCCGTATACAACGTTTGGTGCAAATCGGTTGATTTTCGAAAAATTCGTCCGCCATATTGGATGCGCCATCTTGATTTTTAAAATCCGACCTTGAATTCGTGATCGGCGACCTCGAAAACCTCCGTATACAAAATTTGATGACAATCGACAACTTTCAAAAATTTCGCCCGCCATCTTGATTTCGCCGCCATTTTGAGATTTTTGAAATGGTCAAGGTCATATCTGAACGTAAAATTTTCCGCTCTTTCCATTTCCGGGATCAGAAAAGGGGGTTCCCATTTTAAAAAAATCGTCTTCATCCCATAATGACCACATGGTCAGTCAGTCAGTGGTCACAAAACCAACTTCAGCGATGGCTCATTTCAGAAAATCCACGAAAATCCCAACGTGTTACTGTTTGGTGCGGATTTTGGGCTGGAGATAATCGGACCATTCTTTTTCGAAAATTTGACTGGTCAGGCAATAACAGTTACGGTGCTCGCTATCGCGACATGATTATCCAGTTTTTGTGCCTAAATTGCAAGACATGGATGTAGACGATATGTGGTTTCAACAAGACGGTGCCACAAGTCATACAGCCTGATAAACTATTCAATTATTGCATGAGTGATTTTCTGGTCGTGTAATTTCCCGTTTTGGTGATCAGAATTGGCCACCCTGATCATTAGTTTTAACGCCGCTGAACTTTTCCTTTGGGTTTTTGTGAAGTCTAAGGTTTATGTCAACAAGTCTACGACCACCCAAACCTTGAAAGAAGAAATTGAGCGCTGCGTCAACGAAATTCAGTCGCATTTAGGCAAAACGGACATGGAAAATTTCGACAAAAGAGTGCGTATGTGCCAGCAAAGCTGTAGAGATCATTTACCCGATACGCTATTCCATACATGTTCCTATGCTGTACACTTTATGAATCAATAAAAAAATTGTCAACTGTTAATTAAAAACCTGTGTTTTATATCAAAATCACACCTTCCGTGAATTTTGGGCCATTATTTAATAAAACTTTAAAGTATTCCTACAAATATGACAACTGCACTTTTTATCGGAGGCCCCAGCGCTCCCTAGAACCATCCCAGTAAAAAAATCGGGCTGTACGAAGTAAATTACCCGAAAACGATGTGCCAGGCGACTCATCGAGGTGAATAAAAATGAAATATAGCCGTAATTCGGCGTCCCGCTCTCTCTCTCGTCATTTACACGAGCGTCCCCAATTCTTCCCAGATCCCCATCCAGATACGCTTTTATCTAATTGCTCTCCTTACCTCACGTTCTCATGTTTTTGTATGTAGATTTTGTGGAACTGCTCCTGCTTGGGCTGTCCGGCGATGTCGGCCTTCATCTCCATAGCTACGTGGCGGGGAAGCACAGACAGCAGCAAGCGTTCCTGAAATAAAATATATCTTTGATAATGATCAATTTCATCCCAAATTTAACAAAGCAACCACGAAAATTTTCTGTCCCATGGTACCTGTAACTGGAATATGTTAATTTTAATTACATTTTACTTCATTCCGAAATATATTTCAACAACATATTTGCCAAGAGCCTCAATTTTTTAAATATTTCTTGATTCACAGTACCTTTACCTCTTGAATAAGTAATTCCTACTCAAATTCCTCCAGCGGAAGCTCTCACAATTAAATGTTGGCAGGAACGATAATTTTGACAATAACAATTAATAATATCACAAAACCGTGTTTTTCATAAATGCTAATGAATCAGCTTTCTTGACTCCTGAATTTATGGCAATCTTTATTTGTATAGTTGAGGTGAATTTGCAAAGATCGCAAACTTTTTAATGATATGATCTAAACTTTAAAGGCATCCCCCACACGTACACCCGACCACATCAACCTTAACTACAACCTGACCTTCAAATCACCTCTATTCCACCCTAACTGATAAAACTTCAAAGGGAAGTTCCGAACGGCAACAACGGTCTAGACTAAGAACCCGCATAATCCCTAAGACAACGGGCCATCCAACCAATTACCAAACGGCCTAAAGCTCGAATATCCTCGAGGGTTGACCCGGCATCCATTATTAATCCCTCAATTTAAAGTGCGCTCCCGATACACCTGTTGATGGAAATAATACTCATTAAAGTTAAGGTGTAGCCGACTGCGAATCTTAGCTGCCTATTAGGTTTAGTTCCGTTTCGGTTAGTTTGAGAATTATTAGGACGGATGTGTGGAGATCTGATTACCCTTCAGAAGGACGTGTTTCTCCCTCCGGGGCAAGTTTGGCGTGTTTAGATGAGGACAGGATTATTCAAGCTAATGTATAATGTTCCAAATTGACCCCAGTCCTCCGATAACTTTTCTGGATTGAGTTCTGTCAAGAGAAGTTTCAGATAAAATTTATATGATATCAAAGAACCAATGACCTTGACATTAAGTTCAAAGTCAAATCAAGATCAACTTGATCAATACTTAATACGTCTGTTATATTCATTATTTTTTGTGATAAATGAGTTTGACCTTCAAATAACCTACCAAGACATCAAAAATAGCGCATTTCAGTAGGCACTAAGTTGACCTTAGTTTGCCCTTGCAACTTGTGGTGAAGGTCAAATTTAAGGTCACCATTTCATTTATCTCTCACACTTCTACAAACGCTTAAAACAATTTTGTTGAGTTATTCAGATAAAAATGAGTTTGACCTCAAATAATTTGCAAGGTAATATAGGAAAAATTTTCCGGATGAATATCTGAACGCCCTATCGACTGCTGGCATAAAAAATATGGTGTTCCATTTAATATTTTCAAGATGACCTTGGTTTGACCTTGAAAGTTAAGATCAAGGTCACCAGCATATGGGTTTAGTGATACCTCCAAACTTTTTTTGATAGGACTCATTGGTGAAAAATACAGTTCATCTCCTTTTGGGACACTGTATAATAGAATTTTATTTATACGTGTGTTCCACACCGTTTTTTATTACCAAATTTTTAGAATTAGTGAAAATTAGTGTAGTCTATGGGATTTTTAATGTGTAATGTTGGTCCAGTCGAATTAGATCATAAAACCTAAAAACTTGAAAAAATTGTCCATCCATCCATATTTACAATTAGGATATTGATTATGTCATATGATATGGAACTACAACTTTGATGGGTTTTTATTGCATGAATCGTTCAAATGGTTATTTAGAATGAAAAAACCGCGAAGTGCTATTAAATTAGAGGGTGGAAATTGCAGATAGGGGTGAAAATGCAACCCTTAAGGTTTTTTGAGTATATCTCGAAAACGAAGCAAAATTTTAGGGTATTGCATAGGAAAAATTTTGTAGATAATGAGATTTTCTATCGAAATAGCTTATTTAAAAAATTTATTTACTGCAAAATATATTAAAAACAATTTAACAAAAAAATGCAAAAATTAATTCTATTTTCTTGTTTTTTTAATTTTATGCAAATAACTTTTCTGAGCAGAGATAGGTATAGGCATTGTTTCATAGAAAAAAAAGTATATAAAATTTCCAACAAAATGATGGATTATAAAAGTTTTTTCTGAAAATGAAATAGACTGAGTTATGGTCGTTCAAACTTTGCCTTTTTTCGGATTTTACTGAATTTATGACAATATTGTTTTATTACTTATTTTTGAGTATGTAATTCATTTTTATTTAATAAAGTTCGTCTTCTGATATCTCCGTTTGTTGAGCATTGTCACAGTTTACAATACGTATATTTTAGTTGAACAAATACAAATTTTTATAAATTAATATTTTTTGTTAATTTGTTAAAAAAAATAAAAACTATACACGTTCGTATAACATTTATTTATTATTGATAAATTAATTTAACATGTCTTTATTGATTAAAAATCAATTGTATATGCAAAATAAAGTATTAAATCAATATTGTCATAAATTCAGTAAAAACCGAAAAAAATAGCAAAGTTTGAACGACCATAACACAGTCTATTTTCATCGAAAAAACTTTTATAACTCAACATTTTATAGGAAATTTAATATACTTTTTTTTCTATGAAGCAACGCCTATGCCTATCTTTGCTCAGAAAAAAATTATTTGCATAAAAGTAAAAAAAAAACAAAAAATTGAATTTTTTGCATTTTTTTGTTAAATTGTTTTTTGCAATAAATAATTTTTTTTAAAAATTTTTAAATAAGGTATTTCGATAGAAAATCTCATCTACAAAATTTTTCCAATGCAATACCCTCAAATTTTGCTTCGTTTTCGAGCTACAATTAAAAAACTGGAAGGGGTGCATTTTCACCCCTATCTCCAATTTCCACCCTCTAATTTAATAATACTCCGCGGATTTTTTATTTCTGAATAACCATTTGAACGATTCATGCAATAAAAACCCATCAACGTTGTAGTTCCTTAGTACCCTGCTTTTCAAGACATAATCAATAGCCTAAATAATAATGCGCAATTTTCGAAAACTGATCCGACCTTTAATTTACAGTGAACAAATTAGAGAAAAAAATTACTCTAGGCGTCTCTAGATTTTCGTGTAAAAAAAGTGAAAAAACACGTTAACTTGCCACTTATTTGCAATTTGCCAACTTAGCATCACTTCTTTCGAGTTACTTTTTTGATATTATCATATATAAAGTGCAATAAAATGTTTCCTAATAATTTATTCACGTTCAAACTATAAATCGGCTGGAGTATGTAATATTTCCATGTTTCCCCCGGTGCACGTATAAAATTTGGATAAATGAAAACCGTATTAAACCTTT